CTCCCGCTCGCCCTTTTCTTGGCGGCCTCTGCCTGTCCGGCCCCCCGCGACACGCCGCACCTTCACAGCGGCGTGTGCTGATACATTTAAAAGACATCGACGCCGTTTAAAGCTTCCAAACACCACTTTACTGGATTGACATTCAGTGACAGTACACAGCACCAAGGGTTAGTCTGTCCTTACTCCCTGTCACCACACAGGTAACCGATCAGTCCCTAACGAGCTTGTCCCAATTTAGCCGCGACTATAAACCAGCAGCGAGCCGGGCTCTCTTAAGGTGAGAAGGATGTTTTGGTGAAGGAAGCCAGACCTGAAGTAGGATACCTGCTTTTTTCTTTGTTTTGTTTGTTCGGTGTTTTTTTTACCTTGTTATTTATTGGTGTTCTATTCTTCTCTTTTGAACGGATGGGGCCGGCACACCGCTTCTGGACTGAGTTGGCTTATTTTGTCAAACAAGATTTGCTTTGCGGGTTTTTTCCAGCACGTTACCTGTTGTCCTGTGGGGTTACTTTGGCTTCACCGATTATCTTCTCGACTTACTGTATGCATGGCTTTTTTGTTTCCTAGATTTGATATATGCTGTTGTCTTCCTCTTTGTGCTTACTTATTCCGTGTGTGTTTTTCCTTAGCTAGTTCATAAAGTGCCAATTGCAGGTTTTGCTGCTAGAAGTTATACCGTGCTATAAAATGCTCACACCCAGTCCCTGGTTGTGTTATCTTAGTGTGCCTAGGTCTGGGCTTAAGGCAAGCCTTGTATCTTGCTTAACTTGCTTCTACTTTTTGTGTGCAATAGGCCACCACTTTGGCTACCTTGCTCTGCAGTGGATGGCCATTCAGCCCCAGTGGTGAACGTCCCTGTTGGAGTCCTCTTGAAGGACTATGCCTTTACTTGAGGGAAAATGTTGAGAAATGATCCTCCTGGGGAGGGTGCCGAGACTTACTCTAGACGTGTGCCCTCAGCCATGAGTAACTGGAGAGGTTCTCCCCTGTTAGCTGCCATCCATCTGCTGCCGTGGACCACAAGAAGTGAAGAGCAGCTGTTGGCCTTTTCCTGAGCCCTCTCTGAAGGGAAGGTTCCAGCAGCACCGGCAACTTGAAGGGCTGCTCTCCTCCGTAACGCTTCTCCTCTCCGGGCCAGAGCCCAAACCCCTGTGCAAGTCTTGCAGGAGCCGGTGAGGCCTGGCTGGGGGAACGGGGTGCCTGCACTTCTCTCCCAACTCCTACGAGGAGTCTTGGGACTTGGCTCACCCTTGGGTGAGCGTGGGCATGGTCCCTCACCATTTGCCAGGAGCCAGCCAAAGTCCTGAAAATGAAGCGCGGTGAGAGAACAAGTTCCAAATTCTTCATTTCTGTGTGTCTGTATCTCACCTGGAGAAAGATCAATGTTGCCTGAAACTGGGAGGATCAAAGTAGAAGGCGTGGGGCTTCTGTCCTGCGATAGAAAGGAGGCAGGAAAGGCTATTTTTAGTTGCATGTGAAGGGACTGCCTAGCTCTGCAAACATTTGGGCCATTCCTATGGCTCACACTGGAATTGAGAGTGCCTCCAACACAGGCTAAGACGACTCCCTTTTCCGTAGACCCGCTGATAGGAATTCCTTCTTACCTTTGTACTCAGATCTTATGAGAGAGAGAAAAAGCCCAGTCCTGACATCTCTACTTGAGTCAAGGTCTCAAAATCTAAGGTTGCCTCACGGAGAAGGAAGGAAATGCACAGGAAAAAGGACACAAAATAAACCAAGAAGAAGAAAAATAAAAGCAAGAAATAATAATTAACTGTACAGCCCAGGATCTGACTAGGGGCAGGCAGAATCCAGGTGCACTCGTGCCTTAATGCCCAGACACAGGGGTTTTAGCAAAGCGGGGCAAAAATACTTGCTTGGAAGGCAGGGCTAGCCAGCAGTTGGGAGGATGCTGGGTTTGGTTCCCGGCGCACACCCAAGTGACCTGCAGTGACACACCAGGAGTTACAGGGCAGCGCGGGGCTCCTGGAGATCAGAGGGGACAAACCAGGGCTTTGCCCTAAGACCTTGGCTACTGTACTTGAATTTGTGGCTAAATCATCACCTTGCCTTCAGTGGTGACCAGATGCCAAGATCCATGCTAGAGGAGTTGTGTATTCTCCTCTGGGAATGTCTGATCGGGTAAGGGATGTATCCTGGCGCTTAAAATAGCGGAGTGGGACTTAGGCTGTACCTTCCTGTGGTGTGCCTGGGGCCTTAGTGTCCTTCTGCCTGGGTAGACACGTAACAAGCCTTTCCTTTGCCAGGCGCAACCTCCAGCACTGTAATCCAGATCAAAATTTTAAGTGTGTTCAGTTTTGTTGAATGCAGAATACTGCAGGCATAATTTTTAGAACTTACTCATGTTAGAAGATAAGATTTGGATTGTGTAGCCCATCATAAAATGAAAAATCTGCCTAGATTTCATGATCATATCTAATTATTACTTTATTTTGTCACTGTATGTTTATGCTCGTCTCTTCTGTAAAGTATCTTTACAAATGGATATAAGGCCGTGTTGTCTGACACCAGAGTACATTCTTCCTCAGAAAAGAATACAGCTAAGAGAAAACATTTGGGTTTTTTCTAGTTAAGAGCCAGTATTTTAGTTTTATTTCCTCTCTCTGTACTAGGCGACATCTATCTGGGAACTCTCCAACTCAACCGGAATGTGATTGCTTTAGGATAGGTTATGAGATTTTTAACAAACGTTATTCAATCAAAGCCAATAACCATTACGGAGCTGTGATACTAGAAAATAGTAATAAGAATTGGTCACACATTAAAAATCCACGTCTATAGATACAGGTATAGATATACTGTTAGAGAAAGGTACAGATTTAGCAGTATTTGGGCAGCTGTAAATACATAAAAGGATAAGGCTCAGCAACATTTAATTTTAAAGATGCATAGATTTTTCACTACTTTTATAGCTGTGGATGCTGTGTTGGTTTGAGGGGACAAAAAGAAAGGGGAGTAGAAAAAGGTCTGAAGGAAAACGAGGCTCAAAAGCCCTTTCCATTCTGCCTGCAAGTCTATACCTGCCTCTAGCAACTGGCTGTGGGTTTCCCCCTTTTATATCACAAGGTCTATTCCGCAAGCAAATGTCTGATTATGGTACAGCAGTTCTAACGCTCTTCTATTGTCATGCGCACTTATAATCAATTTTGTTTGAGAATGGGCATGATGTAATTTCTTTCTCATCACTCAGTCTTTCCATTATTTTCTTTACCTTCTGGCAGTGCTTGGATTTGTTAACATCTTGGGCTCTCCTTTTAATCTTCCTGAAATATGATAAATGCTCGCCAAAAAAAATCTGCAGAGGAAAAGACAAGGAATGATACCATCCTGCAGAATTTGATGTAACTGGATATGATTTCCTGAAGACAAATCTACAAAAGAAAATTGATTGGTCATTTACGCAGTTGATGTAGTTACTCTGCTTCTAAGTGGTTATATTGATGTGAGTCTTCTCCTGTTCCTTCATCAGGAATATAACCTTTTCCTTATTATATATCCATACAATAATACCTCTGAGGGAGATCTCAGGGTGCTCATTGCTATTTTACCCTAGACAAAAAACTTTCAAAGCAGTCTCAGTTTCAAATTTTCACTCTTGTGGTTCACCAGTACAGACAGAAAAAGGAATGTGCACATTTCTGATGTACTGTTAACAAAGAAATATCTTTTTCAAATGATCTTTTATTCAACTTCTGATTTAATTTTTTTTTTTAACTGCAATGTTTTGTTGAATTTAATCATAAAGATTACTTGTTATCCATGCAAACTCAGGGACCGGGTTTCAGGTGGTTGAGTGCAGAATTGAGGGCGTATTCACAAATGCATAGAAATCCCATTAACTTCATACTTCGACTGCGTCCTGAGCTTTGATGCTAAAACACCTAAGTGCTTGTTTCTCTGTTCCTTTGCTTTCAGAACGCCAGTACTGGGGCTCAGACCTGCAACTTCCCAAAATGCCTTTTGAAGACATCATGTACAATGATGAAAGTGCGTACAAGTGGCTGTGCACCCTAAAGAAAATAGGAATTGTGCTACTAACAGGAGCTGCTACTAGGCAAGGAGAGTTGGTTAAACTTGGCCACAGGACTGGGTTCCTGCGTCTCACTTTTTATGGGTGAGTTCGGTTTTTAATATCCTTCTTTGCCAGCTATGTAATCACCTCTAATGCATTTCACTTCAGCTTGCTGGTCCTCTTTTGTGGATTAACTTATTAAAACAAGGTGAAATTTTTTCTTCTCTGCATGTTAGAAAATGTGGTGTCACTTAATATTCTGTATGAGAGGAGTGCTTTGCTATCACAGGCAGGGTTTGTAAAGAGCAGCAGCTACAACATCAACTGCTGAGGGAAGGAAACATGCCTGAAAACACATGATGTCAAATAAAAGATAACCACAAGGTAGCTGTACTTATCTGTACCATGGAACAAAATCAAAAATCCCTAATCCAGTCCCCTTCCAAATAGAGGAAGTTACTCGTACAGAAACATTTTCTTAGCCTGATTTCGAGTCATGGAAATAGAGAAGACTTAGATGATGTTACTGCGTCTGACATCACCGAGAAGATGGGCAGAGTACCCATTTCCCTGCTTTCAACTCAGATCTGGAAAGCCACGACCAGTCCCCGTAATTTTTCTAAGACTGCTTTTTTGCAAAAGTTGCAAGAGTACAAGCAGAAACTTGCAAATCGTCCTTTTCATGCCAAGAGGTGGCAAACTGAACCTGTACCTCCTCAGGCACCTACTAGGCGAGTAAACAGATGATGGTAGCTCACAGCTTGCTGGGCTGAGTCAGTGGCCTCTAGCTAGCTAAGTGAAGGAGCAGCGTTATTAGCTAACATACTGCCCTGTCCTCACTCCCAGCTGTTGGTATAATTTTTTACAATGTATATTGAAAAAAACTGGAAAATACAAGCAGGATCATGCATAACATTTGTATTATCCATGAAGTACTTTAAAAAAAAAAAAATCAAGTCACAAAATTAGTTTTAAATGTTTAATACAGATGTGTATAAAGTGGTAACATGCTAAACGTTTCAGAAAATAGTTAGAGAATTGTATTCAAACAGCTTAAGAACTTAGTGTTTTTTAAATGTGTAATTCCTCACATGAAGTCTTGAAAAAGACTTTAATGGTTTTGGCTTATTTTTGGATATTTGGTGTGGGGTGGGTGGGTAAGTGTTTTATAAGGAACAAACTTGGGTTTTTACCATATATAGCTGGCACCGAGCCAAATAATATTATGAGGAAGAAAAGACTTCTTTTCCTGTAGTATCTTTACTCCTAATTTAACCCATTTCATTTTCAGCTATAGTTATTGTAGTGCCTGGTCTTGCTCTTACGTATTTCTCACAGTAGCAGAAACCTCATTGAGTTTTCAGTCTTAACAACAGAGTCAGAACAGTATTTTACAGTCCATCTCTTCACCTCTAAAACAGAAGTTCATTTCTTACTGGTATCCAATTCTGAGGTGGCTTTTACAACGGTTATAAAATAATAACTTTGGGTAATTCCCTTGCTATTTCACTAGCAGCCAAATACAAGGCCTACCAAATATTATAAATAAAAGGATAAACTTGGAATTGGCAAGCTTGCCAAATAAAACATTACCTCATCAGGGCCATGAATTTTACACTGAAATGTAACAGCAATGAATACAACCCTGACATATGGAAAAACAAAAGCCTTTTTTCTTGTCTAGATGCCTGTTTGGTACATGCTACCTAAAATGTCATTACTGTAAAAAGTGGAAACATTCTCTATATCAGCCATATAACAACATCAAGGGGTTCCACACTTTTAAATTAACCTTTTTCTTTACATTACAGAGGTACAACTCCATTCAGTTGCAGCTTCAGCTGCAAGAGAAGGTCATAGGTCCCAAATCTCTTCTGAATTCGTCTTAGATTTTTAATAAAGTACAAGACAAGATGGCTCAAGCTTGGCTTCAGCTCCTTGTGCAGCGGTTTTGCAAGACTAAGGCTGTGACAGACAGGCTAGTTTTCTGCTCAGAGGGACTGAGCCCACATTGCCACTTAATGCAAAAAATTGTTACACCTGCCTGGTGCCAAATTTCCTCCTCTGTCAAATAGCCTGAGCAATTATGTTGAAATCTGGCCCTAATTACTAAACCATAAACCATTCCACCCCGCTTTGCTCTCCCTAAGGGCCAAGAGTCCTCTGACATTACCCACGTTTTCTTCCTTTCCTTCTCGTGTGCTTTCCCCATGACTGAGTTGATACTTCAGCTCAGTTGAGGCTTTGACAAAGCAAGGTGGTTTTTTTTTCCCATTCAGCGCTGAGCTCCCTATTAGCATCGCTGACTTCGAGTCAGTAACTCGAGCTTTGACAGAAGCTCCTTGCGCAGAAGAAAAGCTCCCGGGGACCAGCTCCCCTTGCAAAGCGTAACTGCATGAAAGCACTGACCGTTTTTGCAGAATCTTACAATGATTTTATAAAGTACTACTATTCCAGCAATTGTATATATTGCATATAAATGAGACCATTAAAATGTGTTAAATCCTTTTAGACCCAGCAAGTGACACTGGACTCTCTTAAATTAAAGATATAGTGAACCTAGCTAGCACTCGTGACATCAACAGTAATGACAAGGATGATGTAACAGGCTATTTTTTGGCTGTAAAATTGGGAACTATGAAAGTGTGGTTGAAATTATCATACTTGAGTACTGAAGTCATGTACTGATGAACATGTACTGTACCAAATAATAAAAATTATTTCTCCCAGGCAGCTAAACACATTTGCAAATATTCAAGGGGGGTTTCCCCTTCACAATTTTAGAAGTTTAATTTCAGCATTTTGCATAGTTTCTGTACTAAATACCACTCCTAGAACAAAAGTGTTTGTATACTATAGATAAATCATTTTGGTCTGCTTGTTCTTTAGCCTATGTTCTTTTTAAACTATTATTAGGAAGTAATGCTAGACACACACCATCTGAAACAGAATGTATTTGATCTATAGTATTTCACAAGGGAAAATGAGTTTCATATTTTCTTTTAAATCACTTCTGCTCCTGTCATTACATGGACTGCATATGGCGACATACACTTTTCCAGACAAACGTCTGGATCTATAACATGCATCTGCTGAGGAACGTCTTCAATCATGTGAACTCCATACAAACAAAATGTGGGGTTCTTGGCCTTAAGTTCTCCTGCATGGTGTGTCACTCGAAACAGATTTTGATTGTGCTGCAACGTGATGTATTCATGTCTTTGTCATATAACTAAGACTTTTTTTTCCTCCCTGCAGTTGTCAGTGAACTTTCTTACTGAATTTTGTCAAATTTCAAGATAGAAACTGCGTAACAAAGTAAATGGGGCTAGTTCTCGGAAAGTGCCTCAGAGGAAGGGAAGAAGTTATAAAGTCTTTCATCAAGACATTTTCCTTTAGAGACAAGTCTTCAAGTTACAGGAAAGATTCCCTCTGCAAAGGACACTCTGTATTTTCTAGGATCATAAAGCCTTAAAAATAATTTGGGGGGAAAGTTACATAGCCTTTAACAATTTCATGTTTCATTGAAAATGTGCTCCGCCTGGCAGGGAAAAATGGAAGGTTCATAAAAAGAAATGGGCCAACTTCCACTCTCTTATTTCTGAAGCCTCAGTAATAAGACGATGATTTATTGTAGCAGATACCTCTCAGTTAGTGTCTTCAACTATCTTTGCATCCAGGAAAAGTACCGCCACTGGAAAACCATCGTTCTTCTAGATACTACGCTGCGGCCAGATGTCCCTCGGCACACTTAAGTTTCTAGCTCGAATCTAGGACTGCTGAAATAAGGCTTCTTTGCTGGGGTGGGGGGACGCTGCTAAATCATTCCTTCCTCGTAATTCTACAATATTTTCATGTTCAAAGGTGGAATGACTCTTTTGTACTGTGATTTCAGAGTTTCACGTGTACCGTTTGGCACGCTGGCTGGCTGTTTTAACATGTTTTCTCCTTTCCCTTTCATTACAAAGACAAACTTGGCAAGTACAAGACAAAGCAGATGCTAACAACGTAGCTTATACAAGCGGGAAACTCTGTTTTCACACCGATTACCCTGTTCTGCAGCATCCACCTGGGGTAAGGTGAACCTACTGACTTTTTCACAACACAGAAGGGGAAAGAGAGTTGTTCCTATAGCATGAAATATGGTTAGCGTTCAGTGAATCTGAATTTTGTCTTAAAAGAGCAATGTAAAAATAACGATATATTAATCTGCATATAACAATCTATACACACATGGGTATGCAATATATATATTATGATGTAAGTTCTGCATAACAAGCCCATTATGTATCCCATAATTTTTAAATGAAATTCACAAAGTATTGAGAATATTACCATATGAGAAAACATTAGGGTCCTATATGTGCTTATAATGCTGCTTTCATTATATTCAAAAAGTGTCTAAATGCTATAGTCAAGTTGTGACATTTTGGGACTCATCTGTTCACCTCAGGAGGGGAACGTATTAGAAGAAATATGATTAAGATGGTGTATTCTGTTTTCTGCGAACTGACTGAAGTTAGACACTTATTTGCCCTTTCATAATAGACAAAAAAGGGGCATTCTGTAAAGCTGGACAACAACCATAGAAAATATTTTTTCACCTAGTGCCTGTCATATCAAAGTCTAATCTACATAATTCACAGGAGAACTGGAAAATAGTAGGAATAGGTACAAAGGAACAAAGATAACCCTGGAAAAGCTTGCATCTATAAAACTTCTCCTTCTAATGTTTCTATAATTAAACAAAAAGCCAATCAGATTTATCCACAAGTAAGTACCAAACAGTTCTCACTAATATCACCTTTTAAACTCATTTAGACACTGTTCGTTAATGTGGAGTAAGAATGGAAGAAGGCTTCATTAATAGAGAGCAGATGTGAATTAGCTCACTGTCTTGTCTGTGCCAAAGCTCACACTCTGCTATGAAACGTTAGAAAAAGAGCATAACTTTTTTCAAACATGCTTGTAAGAAATAAAAGTATTAAAGTACATTGAATTATTTTTGAACATTGTCCTGAATGTGTAGTTTTCTTTATTTATCTAGTTATTACACAGTATTTTAATTCTTAAGATGTATTTTTTACAAATATTTGAAGAAATGTTTTTAAATAGGTGATGATTAGTTTTGGAACTGTCCCATAAAAATAATTTTAGGATTTCCTAGGTTTTGATCTGGCAAGTATTTTTCCAGGAGATATCCTGATTAAAAAAAAAAAAAAAAATCCCAAACCTGATGATTAGATCTAGCAGAAACATTAGCTCTCCAGAACATAAAGCTAAATTCTCATTTGAACTAAATTCTCCCTTTGAACTTTTTCAGAGTCACTCACCAGGAGTACATTATGCAGCCCTCCTTAGCAGTGCCAAGCCCTGCTTGCCCTACGCGAGGCCGGCTGTGGCCACAAAAGAAAAGAACCCATTGCCTTGGGCTCCCTTCAGTGGGAACCCCGAGTCCTCCCCACAGGAGGACTTGTTGGCCAAAAGGAACATGGCAGGAGAGCGAGAAGCTGCTTCATCAAATGAATAAACTAGCTTATGTCCTTCCCAAACAAGTTCCCCTTCTGCACTGTTGATTATTTCTGTTTCCCCCCTTCATCATCATCACCAAGGTCTGCGGGTCCAGCTGGTGAGGAGATTGTGGGACAAACCCTGTTCTCTGCTCCTCTTTCCCCTCCCGGGTTTTTTTGTTCGCCATCATGGAAGGGAAAGGTGAACGCTGTTACCATTGGCGTGATAGATGTATTTTGTGTCGTTTGGCTGAGATGAACGATTGCACTTTGTGTGATGCTGGACTCTCTAATGCCACGGGGAGTTTTACGGCCTGTGTCAGTCGCTCAGATTTACACTGGTGCAACCGACAGCCCAGTTTAGGCTGTCTGCTCTGTCTTAAGCCTTGGCAATTTTGCTGTGAAGTGAAATGAAAATGTCTTAATCCTACTTTATCATAGAGACACTGGGCCTGTTGCCTTCTATGACAGCCACCTTTTCCCCTCTGTGAGCAGATAATTCATAGCAGGTTTTGTTTCTGCAAGAGAAAGCTAATCTTCTTTGTCGAGATAAGACTGCAATGTATTTAAAATTATATGACTACCACAAAGAAGGACTCAAAGGAAAGAAGTGAGACCAGAGCTTTGCAGTTGACTCGCAGGTTGCAAGCATTAGAAGATATCCCAAGTGGGATGGATTTATGAACATGCTACTTTAATTTTCTGCCTTTGTGATAGTGGTGGCAGAGTGCTGTGAAGATGCAGTAATGGGAATGCAGTCTGTTGCTGGAGAAAAAAAAAAAACCAAACACAACCGAAAAACCAGAACCACTGATATGAGGGAACTCATACTAACCAACTGTTAAATGTGCAAGGTAATTCTTTTTGTAATAAGATGTTCATTCATTCCAGGTTCAGTTTCTCCATTGTATAAAGCAAACAGCTGCAGGAGGTGAAAGTGAAGTTGTAGATGGATTTCACGTATCCAACAAGCTGAAGAAACAAAATCCTCAGGCATATCAGATCCTGTCCTCTACTGCTGTAGACTATACAGATGTTGGGGTCGACTACTGTGATTTTGCCGTGCAGTGTAAACAAAGGATTATAGAGTGAGTAGTTTCAACAACATCGAAAAATAACATCCCTGTTGTATGGTGGCTTACATGTTGGTAGGAGAAGGTCTGCTCCTGACACCTGGTGGGGAAATACTGATTTAACTTGGTCTATTGTTAGTTTGGGGGGTTTGTTTTTTGTTTGGTGTTTTGTTTTTTGTTTTTTGGGTTTTTTTTGCCAGTGTTTGAGTTGTTCTGTGCTTTGTACCACCACAGCATAGTTTTCCTTATTTGGTTTTGCCACACACCAGCAAGAAGTGGTGGCAATTAGAGCAACTCATAGGTACAGACACAGGTTAACAGCAGCTGGGCCTGTTACTGAATTCCAGCCAACATACATCTGTGCCGTGCCAAAGAGAGGTCATAATTTAAGAACATATATTAAGAACTATATATTAGAAAAAGATCAAATGCATATGATCATAATCTCTTCTGAATTTAAAGAGTTTACAATTCTACAGTTAAAGTGTACAGACTATAGATGTTTGAGGAAATTAAGCATCTGTATTTTCTCCTGATTATCCCTTTTCCTAGTTTGGCTTAATTATCAAAATCCAACCCAGTAACAATCTGAATTTCACTATGGAAACATACTGAAATTCCAGCAGGAGAGTTCAGTTGCTGTTTAACCATCTTAAAATGTTTCGGTAACAACATAATACTTTTTTTTTTTTTCCTTTCCTTCTCTGTTTCATAGCATGGATTCCAGAGGCCAAGCAATTCGCATCAATTATAATAATGCAACAAGAGACACAGTGTTTGACATACCAGCTGAAAAAGTGAGGCCATTTTATGCAGCTCTAAAGGAATTTGATGATTTATTAAACAGCGCAGAACACAAGTTTACTTACAAGCTGAAACCAGGTCAGCAAGTTGCTTCTCCTCACAATGATTTTTCACATGTTTTTCTCAACAGTCAAAACACTTGAGCATTGTTAGCACTGGTACTGAGAGGAAATTTCAGTCCCTCTATCACCTATTTTATTTCATACTGCATCCTTACATTCATCTCATAGATTCCTTCTGCCATTGTTACACTAGAAAGGAAAAAAAGGGAAAGGCGGGGAGGCATAGTCTCTTGGTTAGTCCATATATCTTTATACTACATCAAAAACCCATACCATATAGGAAATTGTAACTTGTCATATCTATAGCACCATAGATGGGAAATATCAGGTGTAAGACTGCTGTGCCATCCCAATTCAGTGTCTGTTCATTAAATGATATGCAATCACATACTTTCTCCTCTGCTTCATTTGATGCAGAGTATGGACGTTAAACCAAATGATACGTCTGTCTTTATGACACTTTAATTTGTTAGTTATCTTCCCAAGGGCTGCAGGAGTTGCAGAACATCTAGAGGATGATACAGATGCATGATGTGCATAATGCTGAAGGAGGCTGAACAGTGCTGCGGGGAATCCAGTTATTGTCTTTGCTTAGACACCGAATGCCAGCGTCATGCTGGATGAATTACCGAAGGCCACTGCTGCTGTACTGCTTTTTCTGGGTGGCCTATGCAAGACATCTGGAGGCAGATTTGCAGAAGTGCTAAGTGCTCCAAACTTCAGCTGGAGCTGTACAGGGCTGTGTTTTCAACATAAAACATGCTGCAAAAATCCCCTTTACTCTTTAAAAGTCAGTCCGTGCATATTTTTAACTACTTGGGCCTTAATCTCTGTTCTTTCATTCCCCAGCTATAAAATAAAGATATTAATAGTCCCTCATCTCTTGAGAGAGGTTACAAAAGTAAATTCATTAACGTATCTGACTGCTTCGTGTACTATGATGCCAGTGTCTTTAAAATGTCTATGAGGAAATTAATCTCTCTCTATTGGGCACATGCAATAAAATAATTTTTAAGATCACATAATAAATGGTAAAACAAAGTACCTCACATTACATGAGTACCTTCTATCCCATCAATTAATGCACCAAAAGGGTGGTAGAGGGGAGGGAGAGAAAGATTATAAGGTTATTTAGTTAGAGATTTATTATAATGGTGGCACACAAGGGAGAAAAATTAAAATGTCATGCTAGCCTTAATTATGTGATAACCTAACTTTCAATGGCTTGACTTTGTTCTCATAGAATTCTCTTAACAGGGGCAGTAATGCAGGATGTGTATGGTACAAATAGTACCAGATTGATCAAATAAAAACCATCCTAGTGGCTTTCACCCTTTTTATTCTTCCCATGGATTTGCTGTAGTCACCTTTCCCCTCAAGGCCTGCTTTTCTCTCCTACCACTTTGCTTTTTAACTCCTGGTTATACAAGAAAAGAAGCAGAGGTCGAAAGGGACCTCCCCTCTTTGGTTAAGAATGACCAGCTAAATTAAAATCACTGTGTCGTTGCTGTGTATCTCCAGTCGAGCTACTTGAAATTATTGCTCCCTAACTGTTGATATAAATCTACCTCCATGTTATCTGTTTGAAGGAATCATCTATAACATACCAAATATTAAACTTTGTGCAACTTCTTTATAGGAGACATAGTGACCTTTGATAACTGGCGCGTGCTTCACGGTCGCCAGAGCTACCAGTCGGGATCAGAAGTGACTCGTCACCTGGAAGGTGCCTATGCAGACTGGGATGTGGTCATGTCGAGGCTCCGGCTCCTCAGGAAGAGGGTCCTGAATAGGGACTGAGCTTTCTTCTAACCAAGATGAGCAAAACATAGATTGTCTAACCTCAGCAACAACAACAACAAAAATTAAAAATTGTGTTGTTCTTTTCAGAGACTAACATCACAAATATATTTTTTAGTCCCATAAGCCAAGAAACCTGTTGTTCGTAACAATTTAAGATTTATCTGTGCCCTGGTCTTTGAATCTATAAAACTCATTGCTACTTCTGTCAGTTTATTTGCTTTTTAAAATCAGTGTGCAGAATGGCTTGAAGGATAATCACTTTACTGGGCTGACTGGGGATCACAATGCCTTCCTTTGCCTCTACGAGTATACCTGCCCTCCCTAGAAAGCTTGGCAAGCAGCATCAAAAAAGAGCTTAAAGTATTACTTACTAAAGGTTTGTTATGAACAGCACCTTCCTCTATTTTCAGAGAGTCATTCTTTGTTGCATAAATCATAACTAAAATTAATTATCAAAATAAACCACTGCTGTGGGGTTATTTTTATATACATACCTTTCTAGGTAGAACTCCGCTTTAATACAAGCTCTCATTCAACAGATGCTGTATTCTGTATATCCCACTGTACATGTGATGAATATCACAGCCACAAATAATTTTTACTACTTTTCTACGTCCCTAAGCTCAGAAACGATAGAGCTACCAGAGAATGCGTCGTATTAATTATCCTCAGCATTAGGAATAGAAATGAATCTCAGTGTAGAGGTGACAGATGGGGGTCAGAAATCCCATCAGATGCTGTACACAGACTTAATTAAGATCTGCAGGGCAGACAGATTGTTGAGTAAAGTCAGGAGGAAGAACGCTGATGCTGCTTGACAGCTAGAAACCACAAAGCACAAGAGGTGATTATTGACTCCGCACCGACAGAGAAGTGGTGACTGAACTCAGACCCATTTTTGTTATACCAAATACAAGAGCACGCCTCCGATAGACTCGGTCTGCAGGATGTTTTCCTCTAGGTTGCCTTCTGAATAGAGATTATGCTGTTGTGGTTTAACCCCAGTCGACATCCAAGTATCACGCAGCCGTTCACTTGCTGTTCCCCTCACCCCAGTGGGATGGGAAGGAGAATCGGTAAAAGGTAAAACCCATGGGTTGAGATAAGAACAGTTTAATAATTGAAATAAAATATTATGATAATAGTAGTAATGAAAAGTGAGATAAGAAAAAGAGAGAGAGGAGTAAAACCCAAGGCAGAGGAGTGATGCACAATACGATTGCTCACCACCCACTTACTGATGTTCAGCCTGTCCCCGAGCAGCAATCAGCCCCTCCCAGCCAATTCCCCCAGTTTATATACTGGGCACGATGTTTTGTGGTGTGGAATATCCCTTTGGGTAGTTCGGGTCAGCTCTCCTGGCTGTGCTCCCTCCCAGCTTCTTATGCATCTCCTCATTGGCAGAGCATGGGAAATTGGAAAGTCCTGAATTTAGGATAGGCGCTACTTAGCAACAACTACAACATCAGTGTGTTATCAACATTATTGTCATACTAACTCCAAAGCACAGAGCTGTACCAGCTACTAGGAAGAAAATTAACTGTATCCCAGCAGAGACCAGCCAGGACAGCTATGTAAAAATTACTGCAGCCAAAGTAGTGGTTTTTTCCCTATGTTCAGATGCCAAATTGAAAGGGAAAAAATTTTAAAATACTTGATTTTATACCCAACAGTGTGTCCACTGAGTTTTTTTCTCACTGTCCTCATAGCTGCAGAGTTAACAGGACGCCCTCTCACCCGTACTGGAACCTGACCAAACCACCACACCTCCACCCGCAGGTCTGCTCTGTTCAACTGTTTATTTTCAAATTAGTCCTTCAAAGTCAAAGAAATCCTAGTCTCTTCCCAGTAGGCTAAAACAATAGAACTGTAGCTACAGAATTAAGTAACTGTAGAATTAAATTTGTTGATACAAAATACGTCAACATAAGTGAGACCCTAAAATCAGCTAGCAAACACTTCCATAGCTTCTACTCATCATTTACAGTCAACAGATATCTCAATATCTAAATAATGAAATAAAACTAAATTCTAAATTAGGCTTTGGTCATAACCTAGCGTAATGCAGTTTAAATCAAGTCCTCTTTAGTAAATAATGAGATGTTTTTATCAAAGTTATGTCATTAAGATATAGCGTAACAAAACTGGCTTTTAGTGGTAACTTGATTTCTTGGTGCCTCCTTTAATAATTAATTTTGGAAACATGAGGGAAGTATTTTTTGCCTTTGCTATCAAAGGGGGGAAAGATGAGGAAAGGTTAATACCTATATTCTGTAAGACACCAGCAGTACTGTGCTTTAACTGTGGTATTTTCCATGTAACAATTGAGTGAAGATTGCAATTTATAACTTTAAAACAAGACATCTTGGGATTTATACCAATGGTTATTAGGGAAGAGACATTTTCTGCTTTTATTCTGTACTTTTCTAAAAACTGTTTTATTCACATTTCTGTTTATTAAAAGCTATTATAGAACTGATTACTGTTTCGGGATCATATCTAATCTCACACATAACATCTTGCAGTCAGATATGAAGTCGTTATTGTTATTTACAAATGTTTGTGAATATGATTGGACCTGGATTCATTCAGGTTTGCCCTGGATACTTAGCATGTAGTTAAAATACAACTAAACCCATAGCTTTGAACAGCGGTGGGGAAAACAAAAAACAAACAAACAAACAAGCAAGGCTCTCAATGGCTCTAACTTTGCACTGCTGGGACTTTTTGTCAGTGAAGTGTGCCCTACTAAAAACTCATTCGAGAGATCCCTGAAGTTCATAACTTTATGCCTGAGACACGTTGTACTTTATATACCCGCACCTCCTTGAACTGTCCACACTTCCCCAAAATATGTAGTATCAATATTAAATAAATAACGTAATTACAATTTTGAAACAAAGCAGCTTTGCGGATCGCAGGCATACGTCACATACGCAGGCAAGATGGGCAGGTGTCAGAGTGCTGTGGCTCCGGGTTCCCAACAGCACCATCACCCTGCTTGCATGCAATTTGCAGCGTATAAATCCTTTAGTATTATATATAGACAGAATTCAAGGTGCTGTATATTCAAAGTATTTCATGCAGAACGGAGTGCAAATAACACTAAAAACTGTTCATCAGTGGCAATGTGAAGTCCTGCACAAACAAAATCTAATCCCTGCAGTGCCTCCGTGAGCTATGGCACAATACCCAATTTAACCGGGAAAGGGTCTGAATACACACCCAAACTTGATGCACAATCAAAACTTCTGTTTCTGGCTGCCAACCCTCTGCTCAACTTCTAGGATCCAGCTGCTATCTGTATAACAAATTTTATTTTTAAACACGCTTGCATATTACTATAGTCTTAGTGGGAAAAGAGAGTATTTCTGTAACTATCTGCCAAGCAGATCTCCTGATGGCTGTACTTGTACCTGGTCAGGTTAAATAATGAAGGAAGCCCAAGATGGGTTTATTTCCCCTTCATCTCCAAATCCATGCTGAAGAATGACATTGTAAGGCTTTTGGATAGGTCTAGCTTCTGATCTGCCTGCAATGCTGACACATGCAGGTCACCCAGCACGGGTACCCCAGCCTGCACGGACTATCAGGCCCAGCTGTCTCTACCATCTTATAGCAGCAAGAAAAATTAGCTAGTAATAGGTGTTTGCAGGACAATCTGAAGCCGCTTTGGGCTGTATCCAGAGGGTGCTGACGGACGTGGTCTCACTTAGCCGGTTGTAGTCCAGAAGCTGTAACGTCACGTCACCTTCGTGCTGTTCACGGTACATCAACTACCCAGCCTGTGGTCAGCAACCCGCTGCATCTAGTGGGCTCACAGCACAGGTGGAGAAATAAAAAATACATATCCATTTCATTATTTGCAAATGCCTTTTCTTTTTTGCCCTAGCTTTCTTCTTCTCTCATTGCATTTTGTAACAATGGATGTTGGATCCAACCCCATGGAATTGTTTTCATGTACAATATTTTAAAATATTTTTATATATCAGATTTCCAGCTAGCTTTTAAAGCTTACTGGAAGCAAGCAGCCTCTTGGGCATATCAGTACACTCGCATCTCCATGGATCACTTCAGCACAGCTCTGCTTTAGCCACCTGCAGCATGTGGCAACTCCTTTTGGCTAGGTGGACAGTAAACCCAAGTCCAGAGAGATTTCCAAATGCCTATTGTGGGAAGAAAGCTGGATTAGCTGCCCAGCTTCACAAGTTGAAATATATTGCTGTATATACATCCAGATATAGCTAAAATGTTATTTGTATATCTATGTACACACACAGAGTCACGTTGCCCGGAGGCATAAAGGCAGGTGCAGTCCTGTTCCACGTTTGGTCCGTACTGGCGACGGCAGGGTGAAGGCGGCTGGCTCCCAGCACCTTGCTGTCCTTACGCAGGTCGTGCCTAACACACCGCAGGGCCTGCGGCTTGCAAATCTGCCCCAGGAGGGCCTGGAACAGACCTGGCTGCTGTCGTGGGGTCACATCATGCCAGCATCTTTTAAACAGAGTTCCCACCAACTCGATGGCAGGGTAAAAGATGAGAAAACCTTACAGCCAACAGACTCCGTTCTGCAGCAGTGGGAAACGCAGGAGTTAGCTGCTCCCTAATGCTCTTCAGGTATTTCTATGCTAAAAGACATTTAGCGATTAGGCTCAAACTTCATTGGTACTTTCAGGTTTATTTGCTATATTCTTTTTTACTGTAAGTCGGAGAAGTAGTTACACTCATTAAAATAATGATCGCTTTGTGACTGATTCTTCCTTTCCCTAAAATACCTTCAGCTTCTAAGTTATTTGTACAAGCTGACAGAGTATAGAGCACATACCACTGCTTAAAAATCACACTTCTGTAAATTCACAGCAAATTAAATGCAGCCTTTCATCACATGTGCAGTATATTACTCGTGGAAAATATGTATTTATTCTGTACCGTGTTTTTCTCCGACACAAATCAGAGAAAGTACTTAGTGATCTTGTCTCAAATTCTCCCTGAGGCAAATGAGTTTTCGTTCTAATCTACACATTCATAAAGTTAACT